CTTGAGGGCCGCGGGTGGTGACCTGGCCATCCTGGCCCGCAGCTGCACACCTACCTGGTCCTGGAGCTGCTGCGCGGCGGGGAGCTGCTGGAGCACATCCGGAAGAAGCGGCACTTCAGTGAGTCGGAGGCCAGCCAGATCCTCCGCAGCCTGGTGTCGGCCGTGAGCTTCATGCACGAGGAGGCGGGCGTGGTGCACCGCGACCTCAAGCCCGAGGTGGGCGCGGGGTCTGGGCGGACGCGGGGCCGGGCTTGCGCGCCTGTGCGGTGCGGGGCCCGGGGCTCTGACCGCTGCCCCGCGCGCATCCGCCGTCCCCACAGAACATCCTGTACGCGGATGACACGCCCGGGGCCCCCGTGAAGATCATCGACTTCGGGTTCGCACGGCTGCGGCCGCAGAGCCCGGCGGGGCCCATGCAGACCCCCTGCTTCACGCTGCAGTACGCGGCCCCTGAGCTGCTGGCGCAGCAGGGCTACGACGAGTCCTGCGATCTCTGGAGCCTGGGCGTCATTCTGGTACGGGGCCGCCCTCTCTCGCCCCAGGGAAGGTTCGGGGCTGCCGGGCCTGGCGAGGGGAGCAGGTCGCTCCGTGGGGGTGGGGAGGGGGAATGAGTGGCGCTGAGGGTGGGCTGAGGGCTCAGCCCGGGCCCCCGCATCCAGGCCCGGCCTCAGTCTCCCCACCTCCTCCTAGTACATGATGCTGTCGGGGCAGGTCCCCTTCCAGGGGGCCTCGGGCCAGGGCGGGCAGAGCCAGGCCGCTGAGATCATGTGCAAGATCCGGGAGGGCCGCTTCTCCCTGGACGGGGAAGCCTGGCAGGGCGTGTCGGAGGAAGCCAAGGAACTGGTCCGAGGTGAGAGCGTGAGAGCGGGAGGTCATGGAGCCAGGGGGAGGCGGGGCTCGGCCTGGTCATGGAGCCGGCGCCGTGGTTGGGGGGAGCGCCGAGGTGGAGTCTGGGGCTGTCGAGATCTCCCTGGGGCTCCGCCTAGGCCGCTCCCCAACACTTCTCCGTCCCGCCTCCAGGGCTGCTGACTGTGGACCCCGCCAAGCGGCTGAAGCTTGAGGGGCTTCGGGGCAGCTCGTGGCTGCAGGATGGCAGCGCGCGCTCCTCGCCCCCGCTGCGGACGCCGGACGTACTGGAGTCCTCCGGACCCGCGGTGCGCTCCGGGCTCAACGCCACTTTCATGGTAAGGGGCGGGGCCTCGGGGAAGTGGGTGTGGTCGAACGTGGGCGTGGTTACACGGCGGGCGCGGAAATGGGCGGGGTCGTGCGGTGGGCGTGGTCTGGAGGGCGTGGGGTCAGAGCTGGAAACTTAAGGCCTAGTGATTGTGGTGGCCGAGGGTGCTGACCTCACCTTGGCTGGAGGCCCTGATCCGTCCTGCCTGACCTGGTGGGATGGGAGCCAAAGGACGGATATGGGAGCCGGGGCGCGGCCGGGGCGGGGAACTCATCCTTCCTTTCTACCAGGCCTTCAATCGGGGCAAGCGCGAGGGCTTCTTCCTGAAGAGCGTGGAGAACGCACCGCTGGCCAAGCGGCGCAAGCAGAAGCTGCGGAGTGCCGCCGCCTCCCGGCGAGGCTCCCCAGCGCCTGCCGCCCCGGGCCGGGCCCCTGCCACTGCCAAGGGGGCCCCCCGCCGAGCCAACGGCCCCCTGCCTCCCTCCTAGCCCCTACCACTGTGATCACCCCTTCCTTGAGCGCTGCAGCTGTGACCTGGGAGGCTCCGCCCTGATCCCCAGGAATTGCCCTTCTCTCCCCGGTTCCTGACAGAGCAGAAGTATTTTTATAAGCAGAGAATTTTTTATGTCTTACCAGGTAGAGTTAGCGATGCAGGGAAGGAGGGAGCATGGCGGGGAGGGGGGGTGCTCTTCCAAGACACCACCTCGTCTGGGCAAAAGGCCCTGCTGTACGGCCTGCCCCACCTGGGAAGGGCTCCTCTCCCCTTTCTACGCACTGTTCTCTCCCGAAGCCTTGTTCCTAGGAAGGGACACCCCTCAAGATGTCACTTTATGGACTGTCTGTGCAATTATGTCCACCAAAGACCTGTGTTGGGGGGATAGAGTGAGACCCTGGGGGGGTCCCCTGAAGCAATTTTTGTCTCACTAAGTCACCTGTTCCTCCCCTCTTAGGGCTAAGCAAGGAGGAGGCCCTCCCAAACGGGAGGCTCTCTTCTCGCCCACCTGCTCCCCTTTGGCACAGCTACTCCTGGCCGAGGGTGGGGTCCTGTGGGTCTGGACTGGGCATCCATGGTTACTGCCTCAGCTCCTCCAGGCTGTGCCTTTGACTTCAAAATAAAAGTCTACCCAGTGTTGTGTGTGGCATCTGTGTGCCTGTGTTGGGTCTGGAGCTGAAGGGCAGGTGGGCTGCCACCAGCCAATGGGGGTCTGGGATTCTCAGAGGAAGCAACAGGCAGAGCCTTCTGGGAAAGGAAGGTACCCTTTATTCTTGAACTTAGGGCCTCAGCTTGCTGGGCAGTTTACCATTTGAGGTGTGTGTGTGTGTGTGCGTTTGTGTTTGTGTGTGCTAATAATGCTGGTTCTTGAACTCAGCCTGGACACTACTGTTCCTTAATGTTCTGTTTTGTTTTGTTTTTTCCTCTCCAGGATAGTGCTCTACTACTTAAGTCACACCTCTACTCCTATTGTTTTGGGTTTTGTTTTTCTAGTTAATTGGAGAGAAGATTTTCTCCAATTTATATGCTCAGGATGGCTTCAAATTACGATGCTCAGATCTCAGCCTCCTGAGTAGCTAAGATTATAGGTGTGAGCCACTGGTGACTGGCAACTTTTTGTTTGTTTAATTTTTTTGTTTGTTTCTTTTCTTTCCTCTTTTTTTTTTTTTGCCAGTCCTGGGGCTTGAACTCAGAACTCAGGGCCTGGCCTCTGTCCCTAAGCTTCTTTTGCTCAAGGCTAGCTTTCTATCATTTGAGCCACAGTACCATTTCTGATTTTCTGTTGGCTTATTGGAGATAAGAGTCTCATGAACTTTCCTGCCCAGGCTGGCTTTGAACCATGATTCTCAGATCTCAGCCTCCTGGGTAGCTAGGATTACAGGTGTGAGCCACTGATGCCTAGCTTCCTATTTACTTTTTGGATAGAGTTTCAAGTTTTTGTCAGCTGGCTAGGACTGAGATCCACCTACCTCCACCCCTGGATTTACAGGTGTCTTAACACTTTGATGCATATGTTTTCAGATTTCTTTGTTTATACAGACTTTAATATGGTATATCAATATAGATTTTTTTGGGGGGTGTTATTTGGAGATTAGAGTCACAGTGACTTTTCTGCCTGTGATGGCTTTAAACTGTGATCCTCAGTCTCAGTCTTCTGAGTAGCTAGGATTACAGGCATTAGCTATCAGCACCTGGCTAATTTTCAGATTTTTTTTTTTTTTTTGTCAGTTGTGGGGCCTGAACTCTGGGCCTGGGCGCTGTCCTTCAGCTCTTCAGCTGTAGACTAGCACTCTACCACTTGAGCCTCAGCCCCACTTCCAGCTTTTTCTGCTTATGTGGTGCTGAGGAATCGAACCCAGGGCCTCATGCATGCAAGGCAAGCACTCTACCACTGAGCCACCTTCCCAG